AAAAAAAAAAAAAAAAAAAAAAAAAAAAAAAAAAAAAAAAAAAAACCCAAAAAAATCAAAAAAACAAAACAAAACTCCAAAAAAAAGGAAAAGAAAAAAAAAGAAACAAAAACAAAACAAAACAAAACAAAAAAAAACAAAACAAAAAAGGGGGAAAAAAAAGGAAAGATATAGGGAACATCTTTTGCAGAGAACACTGTCACCAAATTAGCACAGCTAGGATTGTCTGGATGAACTAATGTAACAGAAGGACTCAGTAGAGCTGGCTGGGAACAGAGGTTAGCAATAATTGTAACAGTAAGGGAAAGCTAGGAATATAGTAGGCATAAAGGGAGGAGCTCCTGGGTCCATGAACTGACTGAGAGCTGGCAGGAGAAATACCATTGCATACAGGGAGGATCTGCAAGGTACCTAGAAAGGACAGCATGAGAAAATAAAGAGACGGCTGTGCAATGATTACATTCATATTCAGGGTAGAAAGAGACACACTGGAGGTGTGATGGCATGGGAAAGTGACAAATGAGAGTCAAGTAGGGTCAGGGGAGTTAACAGAAAAACAGAAGAGGAAGCAATTCACAAACTTTATGTATTTGTGATAGTTTAAGCAAAGGTCAAGGGGGCAACAATGAAAAACAGAAAAGTAGACTTTAGAGTTTCCTAGCTGGGAACATTGGCAGATCTCAGGGGACAGATTTATAGGATCAGTGGTAACATTGTCAGATTTCATAAGAGGAGAACAGAAGCAAAAGCCTGGGTGTTTGTAGAATGGAAGTGGATGGCATTTGTAGCAAAGAGACAAGAGTAGCTTGAATTAGAGGAAACCAATTGAGGTACATCATATAGACTCCTGCACAGACACCTGTTAGGCCGCCTAGAAACATGGGACTGGACTCATAAAGAGAGTCCAGTAAGAGTGTACATATGGGATGCGTGCAAACGGTGGAGGCACAGCTGGGTACCAATGCGGAACAGCCACTTCGCAGTTGACCTCTAAACCTGTGCTTCTACTGTTCAAGATTGGCTGAAAGGACAGAGGTGTGCCGTGCAACAGAGACTGAGCAGGGACAGGAGATGTGCTGAAAGTGGGCAGAGGGTTTCAAAACTCTGCAGGGTTTGTAGATTCAATATAGATGGTAAATAGGAAAGCTTGTTAATAGTGCAAAGTAGGGTTCAAGTGAAAGGTTTCCTTTGTTGAATGAAGGGCAGACTAGAACGGAAATTGGTTCTTGTGCAAGAAGAGGCCTTTAAGGTGGTATCATTCCTATTGTGAAGGCAGGTACAGGTTAGATATGGAAGGAGAGTGGGTGATCTAGATAATCTTTAAAAGTGTGACAGATAAGGTTGTATTTGGTTTGGGGAATCTTTTGTGTGGAGAACTGCAAGTAAGATTGGCAAAGAGCAGTAAGTGCAGGGTTGGTTGTAGTGTTCTGTGCTTCTTTTTGATGGAAGGAAGGGAAAGAAGAATAATAAGGCTGGCATGAGAGGGTGAAAAAGAAAAGGGCAGTCTTACATTAGGCCAATTGAATATCCACACCAGTGACACTGAATGGCTGCAGAAGAGAAGGTGACACAGGAATAGAAAGAATATGAGCATGTGAGCACAACAAAGACTAGACCATATACTACAGAAAAAAAGAGGTGATGAAGTCACTGATAGATACTAGGTAGATGAACAACAAAATAAGAGTCACAGCAATGAAGCAAGAAGGTTTACTTCAACCAGGGAGGAAAGAGAAGAAATGCAGCAAGAAGAGATATTGCTGCAGGAGGATGATGTAGTACACAGAAGACATACCCAGGGAGCATGAACACCAGAGACTAGGTTAGAAAGAAACAAGCTGGAAACCATCAAGGAATAAAGATGCATGGGAGATCCCAGGGTCAGAACGATGGCACTTTAGAGTGCCCAGAACAGCTTGTAAGCCTCAGCATGGGGAAGGAAAAGTAGAAAAGGGTAGTCAGCAATAGCTAAGGCAAAATGCTGAATTATTATCTTGAGTGTTCTTGCAGGAGCAAAATTTAGGCCAGGCTCTTTACTACGGATCCGGCGGAGAAGGGTGGGTAGGTGGGAAGGGGAAAGGGATGGGGTTTACTTGAGTTGGTGGGGAGAGCAGGGTTGGGAGTAGTGGGGTAGGGTGGGGTGGGGGGTGGGAGGACTGGGATGGGATTTGGGTGGGGACACGAGCCAAGTGCCAGGTATTGAGAAAATTCTACTGTTTGAGCTGAAAAACAATTCAATGTCTAGTGTTTAAATGAATAGATGGATACCTGCTGGGAAAGATGGGATCTACCTAAAAGAAAGAGTAGCTTCAGGTGGGGAGGAAAGGAAAGAGGAAGGTCAGGGATGCTTTGTATGAAGTAAGGATACACAAAAATACAACATGGTTCTTTAGGGCTCACTGTCTGTAACTGCAAAAGAATGGGGGAAATTAAAAGGGATAATAAATGGTAAGTAAACAATAATGCAATTGGGGTAAAATAAGCAAACAACATGATTGGGGTAACATCAAAATGTTCGACAGTTATATTTGGTAGGGGTGACTAGGATGAGGCGGAATGTGTTTGTAAAAGAAAACAGCTCACTTATACAGACTGGGGGTAGGCACTATATCAGTGTGGAAGAATTAACAGCAGGGAAGGAAGTAATTCTAAGAGGAGAGTATCCTATCCATTTGAGATGAGGAAGCACTGAGATGCTTGAGTCAGAACTGTGATATAGGAGAAAGAAGACCTGAGAGAAGAGGGGGCCATCCACTGCAGTGATTCTTAACCGGGGAGGGGGGGGTGGAGGGGTTCCACCCGAGGGGGGGTGGGCACGGCCCCCAGGTGGCCTATCAGAACACCAGAGGTGAGGCAGTGATCTGCTCACAAATACTAACAATAACACCAGTTAGAAGATGGTTCTGATAGGCTACTGGGGGGCCATGCACCCCTGGGTGAGAATCACTGGTGGAAGGTGGGGGGGGGGACTGGAGATGGCTACAGAGAAGGAAGGGTGAGCAGATGGAGGCTGTGAGTCCAGGCAGATGGAGACATCAAGTCATGACCGTCAGACTTGGGAGAAAAGGTCCCGCTGGTGCAGGGGGATGACAGTGAGCAACTGGATGCAGTGTAGAAGGAAGGTGTGAGAAGGATGAGAGCTGTGTGAGGTTTCCTGTCAGGGGCAGGAGTGCAGTGCCAACACTGTGGTCCCTGCTGAGGACTGAGGTGGAGGAGCGAGGCTGGAAGAGATGGCTGATACATAGGTGTGATGGGTGTGTGTGGCTGGTTGTCCATGGAGAGGCAGGGACAGAGAAAAATGGAAGCAGTAGTTAATAGGAGCTGAAAGAAGGAGATAAGTTCAGGGGGGAAGAGCAGTCATAGTCACTGTAGTCAGGGACTGGAGTACCCAGGAGAGAGGTGTCAGTCAAGAAAAGGATGGGTACGTCTGTGTTAGGGCTGTACAGGGCAGGAGTGAAAAGGGTGTAGGCATAAGACAGAAGCGTATTTGCGTAAGAACACAGTAGGGAAGCAAAGATATCTGAAACACCTTTTAGAAGGATGTTAGGAGGTGCATGAAAGGATTCTTGAAAGGTTTCCATGAAGTAAGAACCCATAGTCTTGGGCTATAGCAACGTTAAGGTTGAGTACATGTGGTAAGGGATGTGCATCTGGGACAGCTTGAAGCAAAGATGCCAAATGTGCATGGGGTAACGGTAAAGAGGAAAGTAGTCTTGAGACCCCTACAGAGTTAGCTGTACAGTTCAGAAATGGTAACTAGGGAAGCGATATCAGTACTTTAAGGGATACCACAGAGGCATCACAAGTGAAATGATTAACTGGGTTTTGGAGATGCAAGGGTGGGGAAGGAGTTTTACAAATCACATAGGGAACATGACGTAAGAGTGATGATGTCATATACTGGGTAAGAAGAACAAGAAGGAGAGCCTGGGAATATAGCTTAGTTGGTAGAGTACTTGTCTAGAATGCAAGAAGCCCTAAACTTGATCTCCAACAGCAGATACAACTGTGGTGGGTTAGGGAGGGAAAGGCAGGAGGATCAGGAGTTCAATCAAGGTCTTCCTTGGGTACACAGTGAGTTCAAGGCCTATACTACATGAGACCATGGCGCAGGAAAAAAAAATGAGAAAGAGCACATAATGAAGTCCTAGCAACTGAGAGGAGAGGGCTATTGTGAGCATACTAAATGCAATAAACGAAGAAAATAAGGCAAATGTGAGGGAGTGAACATGAAGAAGTACAAACATTTCCTTCTAAGGATGAAGCTGTGGAAGAGAAAGAACATGGCCTAAGTTAGCAAGGATGACAGAGGCCAAGGGTAGTGAGACTGCAGAGGGAGCACTATCTCAGAAATAGTCTAGGTCAGGGCTGTCCAAAGAAGGACAACAGGAGGGAGGATGAGGGGAGCAGCTCCAAAAGAGTTGACAACTGTCCAGAATGGTGGAGTCAAGAAGCCAAGATGTTTTTAGAGGTGAATTCAGATAGCAGTATATGGAGACGCAGTTTCCAAACGAAGGGCATTCAGATTCTAGTAGACAAGTCAAGTAGATAGGGTGAGTGGTGTCAGGGCCAGACATGTGAGGCAGAGCAGAACAGAGACAAATGCCTAAAGTGATCTAAATTAAATAGGGAAATCAGACAGCACGGCATTTTAAAATGGGACATGCATAGACAGTACCGACAAGTAACCCTGGGGACTTGGGAAAGATCTACTCCATACTGAGACCATTATGTTAGCAGCAAAATACTTGCAAATGGCAGAGGTGCAGCTGGGAACCAATGCGGAACAGGCATTTCGCAGTGACCACTGAGCCTGTGCTTTTGCTATTTAAAAGTATCTAAAAGGAGAGAGCTGTAGTGCTTGTCAGACTGACAGGCATTGGCAAAGAGTGAAAATGACAAAAGAATGTGGATGGCTCATCAAACCCAACAAATCATTATAAATAGATTACAAAACTATAGAGAACATCCTGGGGGAGAGTTAGTGTGTCTAGTCGGCTTCTTTTTGCGGAGGGTTGATCTAAAGGAAAACAGGTAGGAAGAGGAAGCTCGAGAGTGGGCCCTGTGTAAGAAAAGGATCTTAAAAATTGAACACAAGTGTTGTGATACAGGCAGGCCAAATAGGGAACGAAGCACTGGGAGATGTACATGCTGTGAATGGGTGGGGTCTATGGTAATAGGTAGGGGCATTTCCTTAATGGACCCCTGTTGGCGGCATAGAAGTGATAAAGAGGAGAAAGTATGAAAAGTATTGGGTAGACTTTCAAGTTTTGTGGGAACAGGAAGAAGAAAAAAGAAGGAATCAGGATGACAGTGGACACAATGGGCCAAAAAGGTAGAGGGAAGAATCAGTGGATGGTAAGAAGAGTAAAAATGACTAGTTCTAGAAAAGCACACAGAATGTGGAGAAGAGGCAAGAGTTTGAGCAGTGAGGAGAGGTTCAGGAAAGCACTGGGAGATGTCTTATCTGACAAAGTGACAGTACTACAGAGGAGTACAGACAAACAAAACCTTTTTCCTCTTGGCGAGGAAAAGAAGACATAGATCAGAGCAGAAAGTACATTGCTTCAAGAAAGCTACATCCAAGAGTCAACTATAGGAGACAGGGCAGAGGAGACACCCAGAGAGAACGGAGCTGAGCACAGGGAGCAGGGAAGAAGGGACACAAGCTGGACAGGAACAAGAAAGCGGCAAGTCCTAGAGGCAGAAGGAGGCCCTTAAGAGTGCTCTGGTCTACTTGCCAGACATACTTTGGAAAGAAAAAACCAAATTAAACAAAGCAGGGATGGGAAGCAGCCAGCAAGGAGAAATGTGATCTTAAAGCCCTGAATACTGCTATGTGCGAAGGAATAAGCCAGGAAGGGAAGGAAGTGCTTCCAACTAGAGAGTGCCTGGTCCATATGAGACAGGGAAGGAAACCCTGAACTGCTTGAGTCAAGACATAAGTGGTCACCACCAGAAAGCTAGGGCCATGGAATGGGAGAACAAAGGCCAGGGAGGACAGGGGGTCACCCACAGCAGTGATTCTTAACCAGGGGGGGGTGGGGGGGTTCCACCAGGGGTGGGTGGGCACGGCCCCCAGGTGGCCTATCAGAACACCAGAGGTGAGGCAGTGATCTGCTCACAAATACTAACAATAACACCAGTTAGAAGATGGTTCTGATAGGCTACTGGGGGGCCGTGCACCCCTGGGTGAGAATCACTGGTGGAAGGGGGATTGGAGATGCAAGAAAAGGAAGAAAAGGCTGGAGTGTCCTGAAAGAGAGCTGTCAGCTCAACAACATGTCAGAGTGAAGGTGGGCACCCTTGTTTGAGGATGAACAGGCAGAAATGAGGGCAGAGAAATATTAAGAGGCAGATGCTCTCTGTGGGCTTTTCAGGAATAGTGTCAATTGAAGAGCACAAAAGGAAGCAAAACAGTTCACAGGGAGCCATGAGAATAAAGTTCTAAAAGGAATTTACATAGACTCTTGGGTATAGTATGCAGGCTTGACAAGTAGTTGGACACACAGATGAAGGAGCATGTTAGAACAATGGGTGTAGAGGATAGATGAAGCAGAGAGTACATACCCAGGTCTACAGACTGTGCATCCCACACAACAGCTGAAAGGTTTCCATTGTGGTGGGTGTGACTAGGCTTCACTGGAATAAAGAGTATGGCAGGAGAAAGGATCAGCTGGACCCAGGAGATGGGAGAAGAGGTTGAGAGTTTTCAACATGTGAGAAACCAAGAGAGTTCAGGAAATGTACTAAATCTAAAAAGTGCACTGAGGACCAAGAACAATGTCAATTAGCCTGGTCATGGTGGTGAGAGGCCTTTAATCCCAGCACTCAGGATGCAGAGGTAGGTGGCTCTCTGAGTTCGAGGCTAGCCTGGTATGTATACAGAGTGAGTTCCAAGACAGCCAGGTTATACAGAGAAAGTATGTCTCAAAGAAGGTAGGGGGATAAATTGGGAACAAGAAAACTAGGAACTCTGTTTTTAAAGGCTGCAAAGAGAGAGAATGAACATGATTAATTCCATGGAGAAAGAGCATGGCCTGAGTAGTACAATCAAAGGAAAAAGAGTCTAAAGAGGAGCAAGGTTGTAGAGTTGTGAGCACCTAGGAAAGGTTGGTGATTCTTTATCAAAGGGCAAGGCAGGATGATGACAGGTCAGTGGAAGAGTTGTGACCAGAAATGACTGTATGTACCTTGGTAGAAGTAGGGTTTTAGGATGGTTAGGGGTGAAATAAGGCAGTAGCTGCTCCAAATAACACTAATTGGGCCACTACAACAAGGATCTTGAGGACAAAGGTATAATCTCTGCACGGGTACCTTGCTTTTTAATTGCAGAGGAAGAAATGAAAAGGTCAGTAACTCTAAAGACCCAGACTAACAGAAGACTTGAGTGATGCTGTAGGGAAGATACGATGAGAAACGGGGGGTTAAAAAGAGTAGCTTTCACAGGCAGACTAGGATCAGGGCATGTTCTGTGTGAAAGAATAAACAGTTGGAAAGGAAGGAGGTGTCTAAAAAGAGACGGTGTGTGACTAGGAAGCACCAAGATGCTTGAGTGAGGACACCAAATGGTCACCACTAGGAAGTGAGAACTGTGATATAGGAGAAAGAAGACCTGAGAGAAGAGGGGTCCACTGCAGTGATTCTTAACGGGGGGGGGGGGGGGGGGGGGGGGGGGGGGGGGGGGGGGGGGGGGGGGGGGGGGGGGGGGGGGGGGGGGGGGGGAGGGGTTCCACCCGAGGGGTGGGTGGGCACGGCCCCCAAGTGGCCTATCAGAACACCAGAGGTGAGGCAGTGATCTGCTCACAAATACTAACAATAACACCAGTTAGAAGATGGTTCTGATAGGCTACTGGGGGGCCATGCACCCCTGGGTGAGAATCACTGGTGGAAGGTGGGGGGGGGGACTGGAGATGGCTACAGAGAAGGAAGGGTGAGCAGATGGAGGCTGTGAGTCCAGGCAGATGGAGACATCAAGTCATGACCGTCAGACTTGGGAGAAAAGGTCCCGCTGGTGCAGGGGGATGACAGTGAGCAACTGGATGCAGTGCAGAAGGAAGGTGTGAGAAGGATGAGAGCTGTGTGAGGTTTCTTGTCAGGGGCAGGAGTGCAGTGCCAACACTGTGGTCCCTGCTGAGGACTGAGGTGGAGGAGCGAGGCTGGAAGAGATGGCTGATACATAGGTGTGACGGCTACATGCAGACTTGGTGCAATCAGTCTGATGCAGAGGACCAAATGTGTTGAAGTGGTGGATGTGGAGGACAGGTCAAGTGAGGGTGCAGGCTCAGAGGTCCACAGACTACACCAGAGCATCACAGAGGGCATCTGAAGGAGCTTCAGGGGTTGAGAGGATAACTTTGCTTCTCAGGGCAGTGAAAGGTAGAGCAGGAGAAGGGGTTAGCTGGACCCAGGACTGTTGTGAGGAGGCAAGGAATTTGTAATAGGTGGGAGAGGATGAGAGAGGAGCTGGGCCACTGAGTTAACAAACTAGCATAAGCAGTGGAGGGAGCCAGCAGCTGAGAGAGCAGAGGGTACACAGAGGCTCAGGGGAAGGCAGTAACAGTGAAGAAAAAGTAAGAAGATGGAGAGTGTGGAATGGAGCTCAGTCAGTCAGGGAAGAAAGAACATGGTCTGGGTGAGATAGAGTAGGACGACAACAGGTGAAGGAAGCATCTGCAGTAGGCTGCGGTGAGCACGATACCCATGAAATATTGGGACACTATGTTAGAGGAGGCCACAGGGAGTTAGATATAAAGGTGTCAGACAAGTAGCTGACTTGCTTGTAATGTGAAGAACTAGGAAGCGAGGCTGGCAAGGGTGGGTTCCAACAGCATGGACTCGGGAGAACTTGTTTTGGACACAGAGGCTGACAATGTCAGGAATGGGTGAAGGTCGGGAAGGGAGCCGAGAAGGGAAGACTGATGAGGAGTTCGTGCACTGATTGAAAGGCAGCAGGTGAAGTTAGTAGTGTAAACACAGTGTCGGTGACAGAGAAAGGAACAATCTTCAGGGGATGGTGGTAGAAAGTTTAGAGCCCCTGTATGGAAGAAAAAGCGATCTTTGGCTTGCTAGTGAAAGGTGGTGTTGAGCTGGATTAGGGCAGCTGGTGTGGGAAAAAAAGAAGAGGAGGCATTTCAGTCTCCTGAGTTTGTGGTGGATTCAGTCAAGGATGAGGGGCCACTATGGAAAACAATAAAGCAGATAGTAGAGTTCCCTAACTGAGATCCTTGGCAGATCTCAGGGGGCAAGTTTGTTGAAAAGATGGTATTAATGTCAGATTTTAGCGGGACAGAAAAGATGAGCAAAAGCCCGGAAGTTTGTAGAATGGAACTGGATGGTGTTTATAGCAAAGGGACAAGAGTGGCTTGAGTTAATTTAGAGGAAACCAGGTGAGGTGCACCTTACAGACTCCTACACAGACACCTGTTAGAGCCACCTCTGCAATGGGACTGGACTCATAAAGAGTCCAGTACTAGACTCTCATGAAGAGAGTCCGGTAAGAATGTAGATATATGATTGTGCAAACGGCGGAGGCACAGCTGGGTACCAATGCGGAACAGCCACTTCGCAGTTGACCTCTGAACCTGTGCTTCTACTGTTCAAGATTGGCTGAAAAGAAAAGAGGTGCGTTGTGAAACAGAGAGACGTGTAAGGGGTCTTGGTGTGAAGCCCAGGGTAGGAAGGATGTTCCAACTACCAGGCAGGAAGGACCTTCTAGCCGTTCAAGGCAGGAAGGACCTTCTAACTGTCCAGGGTAGGAAGGACGTTCCAACTACCAGGCAGGAAGGACCTTCTAGCCGTTTAAGGCAGGAAGGACCTTCTAACTGCCCAGGGTAGGAAGGACCTTCCAATACCATGGGAATCTCACAGGTTCAGGGTGAAGGTAGGTCACTAGTCCATGAGCAGTGGAATGAGCCTGGCCTAGAAGGCCAGGTTCTGGTGACAGGTTGGGCTTAGGCTACCGTATGCTTGATCGAGAGGAAAAACGGTAAGGAAATAATAAAGAGGGTATAGTGTGGTATTTACATAAGGAGAATGTCTTCAAATATAAATACAAGTATAATGCATATTGTATTTCCAAGTGGCAGCAAGGAAAAGAGGAACACCCAGTGGGCTTCAAGTAGTGTGTCAGCAATGAGCAAGGCTATGTTCTTTTTAGGAGGTTTGCAACAGAGGTGAGAAAGTGAGGAGTAGGATGTGGTAGGACTGGCTTTACTCTTCTGACTTGCTGCTTGAAAGAAGAGGAAAATGTTTGACATGGGAGAGCTGAAGGAATGACAGTCTAAGACAAGGAGCAGGTAGAATCAATGAAAAACCTAGATCAGTGATATAAACAGCTTCAGTAATGGTGGTGGGACAGTGATGAGAAAAATCTGAGTATGAAAGCAGATACAGGAAGAAGAAAGTCCTGGAGACGAGAGTCATGAGTACGATCAAGTGGCATGTTGTAGGTTGTTTGAGAAAAGTATGGGCCACAGAAAAAAAAGCAGAGGTTTTCTACTAACTAGAGGGCAAAAGCAGAGACAGGCTTTAAGCAGTAGGGCTGTGGAAAGGGAAGTAGGCGGCATATCAAGATGATGTAGCAGTGGAGTCAGCTGGAGAAGACAGGGCAGAGGAGACACCCAGAGAGAACAGAGCTGAGCACAGGGAGCAGGGAAGAAGGGACACAAGCTGGACAGGAACAAGAAAGCGGCAAGTCCTAGAGGCAGAAGGAGGCCCTTAAGAGTGCTCCAGTCAACTTGCAAACCATACTTTGGGAAGAAAAACCAAACCAAATCAAACAAGGATGGGAAGCAACCTACAGGGAGATCTATGATCTTAAACCCCTGAATCTTGTTAGAATGGTACAAATCTGCAGCCAGGCTCTTTACTTTGGGTCTGGCAGGGAAGGGAGGAATGGTAAGGATGGTTGCAGGGACAGGATTTGGGCTAGGGTTGATTCAGCTCACTGGACTGGATGGAAGGTGAGCTTTGGAAGCAGTGGGGACTGGAGTGGAGACATAAGCCTAGTTTTAGGCATCGAGAAGACATCTTACTGAATGGAGCTGGCAGATGGTTCTAGGTCCTGTGTTTATAGTGATGACTAAAGCCTGGGAGAATACTGAAAATGCTCAAGAAAAAAAAAAAGAGTAGATGACAAAAGGACAGAAATAAACAAGCATAAAGGTGGTTCCAAGAGGAGAGTGAAGTTCTGAGGAAGTGCTAAGATGCTCAAATGGGGATTTCAAGCAGTCACCACTAGAAAGCTCGAGGCATGGAATTGAAGACTGAAAGTCTGAGAGAACAGGTGTCCACTGCAGTGATTCTTAACCGGGGGGTGGGGGGTGGAGGGGTTCCACCCGAGGGGGGGTGGGCACGGCCCCCAGGTGGCCTATCAGAACACCAGAGGTGAGGCAGTGATCTGCTCACAAATACTAACAATAACACCAGTTAAGAAGATGGTTCTGATGGGCTACTGGGGGGCCATGCACCCCTGGGTGAGAATCACTGGTGGAAGGTGGGGGGGGGACTGGAGATGGCTACAGAGAAGGAAGGGTGAGCAGATGGAGGCTGTGAGTCCAGGCAGATGGAGACATCAAGTCATGACCGTCAGACTTGGGAGAAAAGGTCCCGCTGGTGCAGGGGGATGACAGTGAGCAACTGGATGCAGTGCAGAAGGAAGGTGTGAGAAGGATGAGAGCTGTGTGAGGTTTCCTGTCAGGGGCAGGAGTGCAGTGCCAACACTGTGGTCCCTGCTGAGGACTGAGGTGAAGGAGCGAGGCTGGAAGAGATGGCTGATACATAGGTGTGATGGCTACATGCAGACTTGGTGCAATCAGTCTGATGCAGAGGACCAAATGTGTTGAAGTGGTGGATGTGGAGGACAGGTCAAGTGAGGGTGCAGGCTCAGAGGTCCACAGACTACACCAGAGCATCACAGAGGGCATCTGAAGGAGCTTCAGGGGTTGAGAGGATAACTTTGCTTCTCAGGGCAGTGAAAGGTAGAGCAGGAGAAGGGGTTAGCTGGACCCAGGACCGTTGTGAGGAGGCAAGGAATTTGTAATAGGTGGGAGAGGATGAGAGAGGAGCTGGGCCACTGAGTTAACAAACTAGCATAAGCAGTGGAGGGAGCCAGCAGCTGAGAGAGCAGAGGGTACACAGAGGCTCAGGGGAAGGCACCATTCCAGGAAGGTACACTCAGGATTTAGAGGGGAAAGAGAAGATGAGGCTTTCACTTCAGTTGTGCTAATTGGAGGTGGCAGTACCTTGAAAATAATCGGGAGCACTATGTCACTGAAAATCACGGCAACAGTGCTTCCAAACCAGAGAACCACTGTTCAACAATGGTAGCCCTGAGAAGCTAGTCTGGTTATAGGGGAATTCAGAAAGCACCTGGACTCACAAGAGATTGCCCCAGGCTCAGAGGATGGCAAAGATGCGAGCAGTGAGTACAAATCAGGATGTGATCAGATAGGGCTAGAAAGACTCCTGAATCCATGCACCAACTGGAAGGTTCAAAGAAAAGTGTTGAGGAAGAATCAGCATGTCTCTGAAAAAATTCACATGAGAAAAATATATGGAATGGTCTTACAAGGATTAATCCTGCATCCAAAGTAGACACTGAAGAAGGTGGCAATAGGCGGGTAATAAACATTTTGATTCCAATTGGTCACACAACTGATGAGAAATGAAAGGGTTAGAAGTGGACAGAACCAATTGAAATTGTGGCTCACCCTTGATAATGGAGCCAGTGCAGGAAAGCAAAAGGCAGAATTCAGGGTTTCCAAGGTGGGAGATGTTATCCGATCTCCAGGTTAAGCAATGAATGATGCAAAGACTTTGAAGGCCTAAGCAGAGTTGTCTTTATAAGAGAGACAAGTCAGGTGACAAAGCCTTCATGCATTATAGAAACAACTTCACTGATTTTAAAAGACAGAAGAACAAAAATCACAGGAAAGTAGTGATACCATCACATGGTTGAATAAAAATCAGAAAATATGAATTAGGTTTAAGGTTTAGTGGCAGGAAGATCACAAGTTCAGGGCCAGCCTGAGATACAAAAGGAGACCCTGTCTTAGAAAGAAAGAGAAAAAAAAAAAAAAAAAAAAAGAAAAGAAAAAAGAAAAAAACTTAAAAAAAAAGACATTAAAAAGGGGGTAGGGAACGATGGTAATTGAGAAAAGAATTGGACATAGGTTGAATTATATTGAACATGGCCTGCAACAAAATCCACATGTCCCAAATGGAAAAGAAATACTGCTAACGGAACTGGGTTACGTGACTAGTGTTCACTTTACATCATCTGGGATTTACTTAGGACACTTTGAATGGTCAGATGGGTAGTAGTATTGCTTACTGAAGATCTATACTGAATAAAGGAAAATAGGAATTGTATATATTAAGAACTTATCAACAGAGAATCTGAATGCCTAAAATCTTCATCAGCTATCACCTGTGGATGGGTTGAGTAAGGAGAACAAATGGTCACATAGACATGTGTTTGTGAACAGCTTGATCAACAATCTTCAGTATCTGATAGCCAGTGATGTTTACAGGTTGAGCAAAGAAAGGTATAATTAACAGAATAATATTCTGGAGAATACTAGAAGGCATGTATCTTTTGAATTGCAGAAGAACTGATTTTAAAACTGATATAAGAAAGAAATTTAAGCAATTTCAGAATTAAACAAAATATTATCTATTATTTACTGTGTCTGGTGCCAGATCAGATTTACACAAAGAAAATTATTTGTCCAATTCACAGAATCAGCATGTGGTAAGGCCAGAACTCAAATTATTACACCTATCTATTAAACCCATATTTCTCTTTAATATGCTATATTATTTTCAAATAGAAGGAAATCATAACCAAGAACTTCTATTTTTTTCCCTTGTGACCATAAGGAAAAATATTTTTCTGAGATAAGATTGATATTAGAAAGTGAAAGATTTTGAAGTACTGGTTAATTTTTAGAGTATCTGCAATGGAAAATGTTCAAAAAAAGAAGGATGGGAGGATAGGTAAGGACTCCATTACCATCTATGTCCTGGTATTTTACTTCATTCTTTGCAAAGTAGAGTTGAGATTGGCTATGGATTAAAATTTCATGAATTTTAATAAAAACTAAAGAATAGAAAGGAGTAATCATGCATATGGTAATCAAACACCAAAATATTGAAACAAGATTAGACTTTATAACCACATTCTGCTACTGATCAGGAAACACTCTGAATCTAACGGAAGGAAAATTCTAATTGCCAAATTTTTATAAACAAAACCCAAATAGTCCATAGCCAGCAGACCAAACATTGAAACCTCTGGGCTAATAATGTGTAAGATCTGCTTTAAAAAGAAGTTCCCTCCTCAGTAAAGAGGGCTGAGGCAATGTCTATTATTCCTTTCTTGGGGAAGTGTGTACTCTTACTGTTGTTTTCCTATTATCTATGTAACTACTGTGATTTTAATATTGTTGGTTTGTGTATTTGGTATTGTAAAACTGTACTTATTCTTTGAATCCCATTCCCTGTGGACTGGGTTCCTGAGTTATCCCATATTAGAGGGCATCTGAAGAGCTTGAGTAGCTAGTATTCTCAACTGTGAGGGGCTGGAATCTACTACGGGTTCAGATTTCACTTCCCTTGTAATTAAGTGGTAAAGTAATGACAACCCTTAAAAATAAAACAGCCCATAGGTTTCGCGAGAAGTGTAGTGATTGTAGAGGAGTTCTGAAGCAAGGAAAAATGGCTGTTGGAAAAATAATATAAAATGCAGTCTCCTGGGATGATGGCAAAAGACACTGAGCTACATTAAGGCCGGATCCAGATATAAATGTGTAACAACAGCAAATAAAACTAGCTTTACTTGAGAACAGAAAGTTTAATTATTCTTAGCTGACATACTTCAGACACACACACACACACACACACACACACACACACACACACACACCTAGAGAGGAAAACAGACCAGGAGAGAAAAGTGAAGCTCTAAGGAAATGGAATGTGTGAAAAATCTCACAAGGGAATAAAGGAAGCAATGGAATTTAAAGACAGATGGCCTAAAGCTCAAAGGAGAAATGTCACAGTCCAGATAGGAAAGTGCCTTCCCACCAGGGGGACTCAGCAATGGTGCCAACATGAATCTACCTCGTGCCAGAGTCTGAGTAGTCTAGTCTAGCGCCCAACACAGTTAAGACCTGTCAGGGGCTCCCAAGAATGAACATTGAAGAAGGGAGTTAGGAGAGGGGCTATCAAACAAATGGAACCAAGCCCCAAATGTAACTGAATGATGATTGGGGATAACTATTTACTAGTACTTTATGATTTCTTGTAACTCTGTAACTTCCCTTATGTTTGTTAATATTGTTAATTTCTGTATTTCCTGTACTTAATTAGCAGTAAAAACTGTTTAACTATAATGTGGTGTGTGTGCTTATTTCTGGGAAAGTTGGGTAACTACTGGTAGGTGGTCTGTGTTGAGTATGGGAAAATTGAGTGAGGGAAAGGCTTCAATTGTGATATATTCCAACATTTTATAAAGGATATATTGTCTAGACTATCCTAAGTCCTCAAATTATAAATACTATCACTGGCACTAGCAGTTGGCTCTCTTTTAGACCCCTTATGCCACCTCCACACCAAGACTGAACATAGGTCAAGTAAATGATAAAGCCTTTCTCAAATATGGACACAAAATGGTTGACTAAACTACTTATTAAGCTGAAACATTGCAGACCACAGCCTTATACAACAAGATGCTTAAAATGACGTGTTAAAATGCCAGCTATCTACTAAATAACCAAGTTTTCCCAGGAACACTGGAAGGAAACATCATGATTCTTCTAAGACACATCAGGTATTAGAACCTTAACTCATGGTTACATTGTTTCAACAGAAACCCTGAATTCTTTTGGGGGCTATCACTATATACATTCAGCTTCTCTTTTAGCATTATTATCAACAATCTCACAGATTTCGTTTTGAAAGTAATAGTTCTACAATAGTAACCAATTTTATAAACATACCCCCCACATAACATTAAGTTCTGGAAAGAATCATATTCTTGAGCATTAAATACCTGTCTAGACATTCTACCAGTTCAAGAGGTGATGCATTTTAGACCACTAAGTATCTTCTCCCTTCTATGAGTTAGTACCTGCTATAGGATCCTCATCTGGCAAGCGAACAAGTGTGTAACATATTCCTGGCTGATTGTAGGTGAGGCTGGGGGCTGGGATGCAGCAAAGAACTTCATAGGAATCAGATGGTTCCATTTGCACTGTTACTTTCTCCAGCAGCTGGTCATTCAGAGTGTTGGTACAATCAAACTGAAAAGTCAGCAATAGAAAAGTTGTAAAGAATAAGATATATTTTCCAACAAGTTGTTTCTACTCACTCATTTGTCCACAGCTCAACTCTGGAATCCACTGTATTCAACACTATAAATAGCACTATAGCCTCCTAAGATTTTTTTTTTTTAAATTAGGGATTATACCCAGGTTTCACACCTGCCAAGAGTATGCTCCCACATCCCCTAAAAACTGCCCCAGTGAAACAGGCAGGCTTCTTTTTAGTTCTTCGAGTTGAGCTATCAGCTGATTTTTGTTTGTTTTTATTTTGTTTTTTCAAGACGGGTTTTTCTGTAATTTTGGGGCTTGTCCTGGAACTCGCTCTATAGACCAGGCTGGCCTCGAACTCACAGAGATCTGCCTGCCTCTGCCTCCCAAGTGCTGGGATTAAAGGCGTGTGCTACCACCACCTTGATTAAATGCTGATATTTTTAAAATAGTCTATTTCTTGAGACATTCAATTTTATATCCTTTTAAATTTTAGTTATCAAAAAATAGCCCCTCAGAAGAAGAAACCTCTATACCTCTGAAAAGAAAACTAGAATTATTGCTAAATTAACCCTCTATGAAAAAAACTAGAGTCATAAACTAAAGGGAAGTGCTATTTGGCTCCAATATACCAGCTTATATTTAAAGGCCTAGAAAGAACCAAGAATTCTTTATCTCACCTGGAACACAATGTGGTCAGTAAACACGTGCTTGATACAGCGCACAAAGTATTCTGTCTCTGCCTCTGTGAGCTGAACAGGCTCAGAAGACTTGAACAAGGGCCCCAGACTCATAAACTCAGGAATGGCAGCCAGCTGTTCTGTTAAACACAAAGAGAAAGAAAAGTAGAAGTACAGTATGAAGAAGACAGGTAGAGACTTTATTAAAATGCTTTAGTTACCACGGAGTAGACAGATGGTTTCATTTCTATGGCTTTGCTAATAACTCAACACCCAGTCAGTGGTCTCCAAGCTTCTGTAAAATAACTCTAGATTCCTGTATGTGGGGGCGGGGGGAGGACACACTAAATTGCTGATATTTTTCCCCTCTTAACTGACAAAATATGCCCAAGAACAACACTCCCAGGTAATAAATTAGTCACTGGAAAGTCCATGGACACCAGGTAATTCCAGCCACTATAACCTATGACACGGAAAAAGTTACTGAACTGAGAATTAATCAGTTATTAATTTATAATGCCTAGGGATTAAAGATTATTACTTGTACTCATAAAAAATACCTTGGAAAATGTCTTGCCTGGAAGGAGCCAACTTCTCTGGCTTAGGAGTCACAAGTGTGATTTCTACAAAGACAGATATAAGCAATCAAGTGAGTTTCTCTCCACTTTTAGCTAACCATGTATACAGAAAGAGACAGTAACTTCTAGCAGATACACAGTGGCAAACAGCTTCAAGTATTGTGACATTTTATATTAAATAACTTTTAAAAAATTCCATCTTGGGATTTTCATCTTATTCTTGCTTTTGGGTAAAACTCAAGAGACAATCCTAAATTTAAACAATGTCATCTACCTTAGTACTAAAAGATCACCAATGGCGCACACCTTAAATCACAGCATTTGGGAGGCAAAGACAGGTGAGTCTCTGTGAGTTCAAGACCAGCCTGGTCTACAGAGTGAGTTCCAGGACAGGGCTATGTAGACAGACCCTGTCTCAAAAACAAACAAAAATTTAAAATGAGAGAAACAATGCTATTTTTAAAAGCCTTTTCTAGTTTTATTTTCTAGGTTAGATGATATGTTACTATTTACAAGCTTTTTTTTTTTTTTTTAAATAAATTACCTACACTCAGAAAAACTAACAGTTCAACAGTTCTGTTACCTGATTTCTGTTCAAAGACAGGAGCCATAGCAAGAGGAATGGACTTCAAGTCAAAGGGTTTTTCTGAAGGCTCTAGTGTGTACTGGTGTAAGGCCTTTTCCATCCCTGGTATAGAAACTGTCAGACCTATAAACAGAAAAATCTCAGCATTACAATCTCTTCTTAAAGTTCTCTGAAGGAAGAGAAATGCCTATCAAAAGACTATAGCAAACAGCTTTAAGTAGTGTGACATTTTGTATTAACTGACTTTAAAAAAACTTCTTTCATCTTGGGACATTTTCTTGTACTTGCTTTTGGGTAAAACCCAAGAGAGTTAAAATTAAAATCCTAAAAGTCTTATTACTAAAGATCTCAAATGACCCTTTCATAAGAGGTTACCTAAGACCATTAGAAAACACAGATATTTATATTACAATTCATAACAATAGCAACATTACAGTTATGAAGTAACATCAAAAATAATTTTATGGCTGTGGTCACTACAACATGAGTAACTGTATTAAAGGATCACAGCATTAGGAAGGTTGAGAACCACTGCTATAGCCTAGGTATTCAAAGTAGAGAGTACTATATAAAACTGCTTTATAAACCTATAAACTGCCTTATTTCTTTCAAGGAAACGTGGGAATAGAGCATTAAAAATGTCAACAAAATGCAAGCATCTCTCAGAAAATTAAATATCTTAGCTACATGGGAACAAGAAAAGCAGAAGAAAATAAAAATGGGGAGAGATGTAAGAGGGAGCCTAAGAAGAATCAGGGATAAGCAATGTTCATTTGATCCTGTTATATTTTTAAAAATATATTCTTATATATTATTTCACAGGAACGTCTATCACCAAATTAGGAAATACCTTTGTGAATATGGGGTTTCCCTAGAAATGGAATTGTATTCAAAGATTAAAACCATGCAACTGCCTAAAGGAGTCAGTTAATATGTGAATCACCATAAAATAGGTTTGAACAAGTATTATGTCCCCACATTCCTGCCTCTCACTGACCATTGAAGATATATGTAGCATTCAGAGCCATCTGTCTCTGCTGTAGTACGTTCAGGTAGAAGGTAGCTCGGTCCCGTACCTCATCATCAGTATCCATCATACACCTGTTCGGAAGAAATGGCAGAGATATGTTTCTATATCCCAAAGATTTCCAACAGTTTTGCCACCATACCTATAGAGCACAGTTGAGGTCATCTGATATGATTTTTATGACCGAGTCAATAACAGTCAACATGGGCTCCTAAATTTTCCACAATTCTTGAGCTGCTATGAATTACTAAAGAAATGTTGCTATTGCAAATCAGAATTACTACATTAGGAGGCACTGATGTCACTAGGAAGAACAGAGTACCATGGCATAATAATGTAGAGTCTAACCTTGAACCCAACAAAGACTTAGCTTCTCTAAAACTAAGAAATGAATATGTTTCACTAAAGAGACAAAGAAAACTAGTACTCAGTACTATTCTGATTCATTGAAACTAGTCTGTTGATGTGGGAGTGTCATATATCAATCTGTTGATTTCACTGGTTAAGCAATAAAGAAACTCCTTGGCCCTGATTGGTTAAAACATAGGTGGGAGGAGTAAACAGAATAGGATGCTGGGAGGAAGAGGAAGCGAGCTCAGACTCGACAGCTCAGCTCTCTGGAGCAGAGACGAGATAGCTCTGCTTTCTGAGACACACGCGATGAAGCTCCGACCCAGGATGGATGTAGGCTAGAATCTTCCTGGTAAGCGCACCTTGGGGTGCTTACACACATTATTAGAAATGGGCTAGTCCAGGTGCGAGAGTTAGCCTAGAAGAGGCTAGATAGAAATGGGCCAAGCAGTGTTTAAAAGAATACAGTGTCTGTGGAATTATTTCGGGTAAAGCTAGCCGTGTGGGCGGCCGGGGTGTTGGGGACGCAGCCCTACCGCTCTAATTATAACGGTCTGTCTTTTGTTTGTGACTTAATTGCCTTAATTATAAAATGCAATCACAAAATATTTGCTAAAAAGGCCTTTTCTTTATTAATTAGGGAGGGATGAAGGTCATGAAAGGTTACTATCTTTAATACTTCATATAAATCGTTTAACATCTCTGTTAAACGATTAGTGCTTACTGTACAAACTGAGGTACTTATGTTTACCTTACTCTTTCAAAGTCACGTAAAAGAAATCCAAAACTCAAATTCCACATCTATCCTGCACATATAATTGTCAGAAATGGAAGCATTTTGCCCTCACTAGTTCTATTAG